TGACAGTTGGCACCTCTCATTTGCCTATTTTGACATATACGAAAGATAATAGAGATTAGTCCACTCATGTGTTAGAAATCCCATAAGATTGAATTCAAACAAGTGACGATTTTCAGAATTACAGCGAAAATTCTCTTCTCCATTTGTTTAACTAGAGAGAATTACAGCGATAATTCTCCCATGTTATTTTATACATGGTTGTCATGCTAATTTTTGATACAAACAAACGGTTCCTGATAGCAACCATTTATTTGTATTGATTGTTTAGATGTTCAAATCATTTAATACATATTTATTTCCATATTTTTTTCATTCTCATACGTGAAATAATCCTCTAAATACCACTTGAGCTTTAAAACGAACCAGATAATTTTTCACACATGCGTGTTTTCTCTGCAAATTTCACTCGTCCTACGGACTCGTGAAATTATAGAAAACACGCAATCGTGAAAAATTATCGGTAATTTTGAAGCTCTCGTGGTATTATCCCCGATAAAACCCTACAACTTTTGTATTTAACTTTTTTCTGTATTTTCTTTTGTTTAAGTTGTAGGAGCCGCACTAATTAAGGTCTAAACACACATGACCGCACCGTGTTCATACCGAGACACGGCCGTGTCTCGCTGATGAAATGTACCGTGTTTTCTTATGTCGTAGTCTTCACATCTACGCACCGTGCCCGCACCGCGCCCGGGTGGTGCCACCGCACCGCCTCCGTACCGTGCGAGATAAGTTTGGTTTAATTTTTCACGGGCACGGTGCGTTGCAAAACGGACTCTCAGTATTTTCTCAGTACAAAAAAAGAAACTAGCCTAAATTTTTCGTCGTTTTGGCCTATTTCTCTAATTTTCTGCATCGTCCAACGCTGTTGGTGAAGCTGGCGAACATTTTCGATTTTTTCACACACATTTCCAAGTGACAAACTACTGACCGCGCTTAAAGTACGACCGTCATGCGGCCGTGTGTTGGAAATGTGTTGTTTTTACCTCAATGAGCGACACACTGCCGTGTTACTGCACGGACTCGGTGCGGATACGGTGCAGTCATGTGTGTCCAGACCTTTATAAGGAACAGACCCTGGACATAAGCAGCCATTTTGCTTTTTGATAGGTATTCAGTTGTTTTGATAGTAACTCCACAGCATGTAACTCTACTCAATTAGGTTAGCAGACGGGAGAAAATTGCAATTTAATAACCATATGTGCAACTTATATAACTTATTGCGGTTCTGCCATATTGAAAATATGCATATTCTCATAACTACATTTAACTTAACCAAATGGCAGACGGGTTAAAAACGTTCATCATATAAACAATTTTTGTCGCAATTTTGTTCATTGTTTATTAGGACTTGTACCAGCTGCAATTTCTGCCAGTCAAAACTTAAGCTTTTGGTAGCAACTTATTTAATATAAATTAATGGCAGACGGGAAATAATTGATCTCAAATTTGAAAATTTTTGACATTTTGAAAAATTAAAAATAAATATCTGTACCACTTCAATTTTTCTGCCGATGCAAAGGTACATTATTTATCTAAAATCCATTGTAACAAAACATGTTTTAGGCGGGAGAAAATTGTTTCAACATCTCAGCATTTTGATGCAACTTCAAAAATTGTTAAATATTATTATAACAACCGAGATTTTCTGCCATTTCCTCATTAATCTCTAAATCGTAAATGCAACATAAATTTAATTTGGCAGACGGAAGGTCGTTGATCCACATGTCCGATTTTGGCGACATTTTGAAACTAGTAATATGACACTTTATACTAACCTAGGGTTTCCGCCGTTTAGCTTCCTTGTACTCATTTTTGTTTAAATTACCTTCAGAATGTGTGGCAGACGGGATAATATTGATCCAAATCTCCACTTTTCTATACATTTTCAAATTAGCATATCATTGTATTGTCACACGCGGGGCTCTTTGAAATTTCAGCCATTCCACTTCTTATTGCATAAAGAATAACCACCCTTAATGGCAGACGGGAGAAAATCGTTTCAAAAAAATGGTCGTTATGCACCGGTCTAAAAAGCAATAGCGGCCTTTTATATATCCCTAAATCTATTCCTGTAAAATCTAGAACACACGCGATAACTCCCCTTTTCTCGATTAAGTAGAATTGACCAGAATAATAGGAATCTGCTATTTTCTAGGGAATTCGATAGCTTAGCTTTCTTGACAGCCTGGCGACGCCACAGAGGGATTTTCGCGTTTTTTCCTAATTTAATAGTTAGGGAAAAACGCGAGACAAACATATCGAACCGTATACCGTTGAAATCAGGTTGAAGGGAACTAATAAATAAGCGCACAATATACAATATAATTTTCCATTAAAAAAAAATACAACTTTTTCTGCTACACTTTTTTGACGCACTCTGTATGCTCAAAACTGACTTAGTTAAATACTTTTGACAATGCTTCCAGGCAAGTAAACTAAAAAATGTCGGAAGTATATTCTTGAACTAACTTTATGAATAAAGGTTCAGCATGGAAAGCAAACATGGGTTTTGGATGCTTCGTTTCCGATATACAGGGTGAGTTTTAAGTATGGAGTGTCTATCTAATGACGTTGGTTATCAATTGAAATGTTTCATACTTAAAACACTCAGTATAGTATATGGTGTCAGGTGTCACCATGCAGTATCTGCTGTGGTATCTGGATGAGTCACCCTATTTTGGCACCTACCTGCAGCCGTAATTACAGGTGATTAGGTAAAATGTGTAAATACAAAAGTTGTAGCATTTTATCTGAACTGCCAGAATTTTTAATTAAATATAACAAATGAGCAACGTAAAGTGAAAAAATAGGTCGATGTTCACTATTTTTAAATGGATTCCCTCTATTTTCTTTCAAATTCTTAAAGTTCCCGTTTTTCTGATTCAGAATATATAATCAGGCCTATGATGTATCATTTTGTGTTATTTTAACAGCAACGTTAAGTTGTCTGTCACTATTTATTCTATAGGTTAAAATAGAGAGAAGTATAGATGTTGAGCTATAACATAGCTGTTAAAATAACAGGAGAGGATACATCATAGGCCTGAATATGTTGAAATGTTTCTTCCCAATAACGAAACTCCAGATATTTCTAAAACTATTGAAAGAATCATTACCATATTAGATAATCTGAATCAGAAAAACGAGAACTTGAAAAAAAAAATAAAGGGCTTTCCTTTTAGAAAAAATGAACGACTTATTTTTTTACCTACTTTGCGTTGCTCATTTGTTCAATCTAATTAAAAATTCTAGCGGTTCTTTTAAAATGCCAACTTTTGTATTTACACCTTTCACCTATCACCTGCAATTACGGCTGCAGGTGGGTGTTAAAATATAGTAACTCACCCTGTACGCCTTGAATAGTTTATTCAACTATTCCAGGACAAGAACCTAAGCATCAGATAATTATGGATGTCTACTGAAACAATCTGAAGAATGGAAGCCATGTAGGGAAGATTGAAACCAGAAAAAAGTTAGGCAAGAATGCGTGTTGTCACCTACACTTTTCAGCCTCTAAAGTCAAACGATAATGGAAGAAGCATTGACCGTTGAAACGAGAGGAGTTAATAATGCATATCTAATGCAGATGATGCTAGCTACCAAGTTAAAAGGTATGCAAAAACTGATTAGCAGAATGGCGAGGGTAGAACTATGTCCCAGCACTCAACGTGAAGAAAACAAATTTCATGCTAATAGCTAAGACAACACAGATTTGAAATTGAAGTCAGAACAGTACAATCAAGAGAAACTGGAATTGAAAATGGACCAGGTGTTGTGTAACAGTGATCCAAGCTTAAAGAAAAAAGTTAAGAATAATGAGATGCCAAAGGACTCTCAGTGTAGCAAATGGACGCTTAGTTGAGTAGATGTGTTTACCTATACGTATGACATTTAAAGCAAATATATTTACCACGCTGTACAAGCCTATGAGTATACTAAATAAAAGATAATTATGTTTCAATAAATTTGCATAAATGGCACATAGTATACGGAATCAGTACCTACTCGTATTCGTATTCAATTTGCCTTTGATATTATGCTATTTGATTGAACATACCTAGTATATCAGTGAATGTAATGAACGATATAAACTTTTATATAATTCCATATCATTACCAATTATTTCACTAGATATAATATGGCCTAGTTAAACAAGCCAGAAAATATTTCCTAGACAAATTTGCTGCATTATTTCCAAATTTGTTTATTATTATCAGGTACCTACATTAGGTCCTATGCATTGTGCAAGAAATAAGTTTTAAATTACTGGTTGACTGTTGTTGTTATAGTTTTTAGTCTATGTTATCTATTTCGTGTATCAATTCACACTTCAAATCAGTCTTCCTGAGAAACATTATTACAGTTGTTACTATATTATTTTAAATATTCTTTGCTTTGTCTTATACTGGTAGTATTAGCAAAACATGATCACGAATCGATAGGCAATAAAAAAAATCACACCCAGGTAGGTACAGGGTGTTCCATTTCATATATCAAAGTTGATGCTTTTCGTTGATAAAAGCCACAAAATGAAAGAAGAATGTATTTCATGCCCCTAGACTCCATAAACTTCTAATAAACCGTCCACCATAAATCACTGGGATTTATTATGAGATGCTCGTTATAATAAACGATCTTGACTAAATAAGTCTTACAGAAGAATTTTCTCAAAGTATGAAATTGCCCACTAATTGTCTACACAGTAACGGTAACCGTTGTACACATTGATTGAATTCTAAAACTTATCATTAAAATTAATTAATCCGGATAATGTCACTTATTAAATATTTTAATTAGAGGCAGTTTCATTAAGGACATGACTTATTTGTAAATCCTCCATCTATTGCAGTTTTTTGTTTAGCCCTCGGCTAAAACTAATGAGTCCTTTTAAACGAAAGTTTATTTGTAATGAAATCATTAAGAACTCAATCGAGCATTCCTACACATTTATCCAGGGCCCTGAAAAAAAAATAAAGCCAAGTAACAGTTATAATTACCTCAAGTTCATTAGGACTGGTACGTCCTAAAGCAACAATCCTAGGATCCTCGAAAAACCTTCCATCGTCCCTTTGGCACCATGGACTCGGTACTACAATATTGCACATTGGTTTTTGAGTGTTCTTCCTATACGAGTCTATTGGTAAAAGATCAGGTATTTTTTTCTCGGTTTTTGTTTGCAGGTCCTTTTTAAAAAAATCATGTTTTAGATTTTGAGTGTCTACAATGATTTGTAGAAATTTAGCAACAGAAATAAATTCGTCCAAAGAGTGTCTATAGACCATGGTGGTACCGGTGTAGATGTAGTCGAGTATTGAGGACATTGTAGTACTGTTGATGTCAGGTAATATTATTACACATGTGGTGTCCGATGAACTTTTCCCAAGAAGTTCCTAAAAAAAAAATCTCCATGCAAAAAAAACTGTTTGGTCATCATTAATCATTATAGAGTAGTGGATGTAATTATAGCTTTAATTTTTTAACGATTTGTTTGGTGTGAGTATTAAAATTCCAAAGGAAGGTGTACAATCATAGTCATAGTCATCGCATTATCATATTTTCTGGGTGTATATTATTTATGTCTAAATTGCTGTTTTTTACTCCATCAAAATAATTCTTACCCTAAATACCGGACTGGCAATTGACAGTACCAACTTATGGGCCATGAGCCTGAGGTCGCTGCAGCTTAAAATGACATCACAAGTAGACTCGGTTATTAGGAGCCTCAAGGTACCTTCTCTTATTACTTTGTCCATATTTTCTTCTGAAAAAAAAAAAACAAATTATAAGATTTTGATCTTATATAGGCAAGACATTTTTGAAAGGCACATCTATTTATTCACAGGCACTTTTCTGAGTAGGTGTGTCCTACTTGTGAAAATATAGGTATCATATCTGAGAATCAGTTGTTAATGATTGAATTTATGATGCCGAACCATTAAATTGTTATTTTACGTTTCGATAATGTGCTAGGTAATTTTCTTTTTTTCAAAGCTATTGATAATAATCTTAGGCCCATCATAAAATTGTATCTATATGGAATAATAACTAACATTTTCCGACAATACGAGAAAGTAAGACGTTATGAGTGGGTTAGGGACTCAAAACTCAAAAGAAATTATGGAATTGCGGAAAAAACGCCTGAAAACCAAATCGATGTTGACTCACTTGGAGGAGATTGTGTTCTAATTATCAAAGATTCACATTTATTTTCGGGCCTTGTGGTGCCGTTGTTCACCTACCACCACTACTCATTTATATGGTATCAGTATGTCAGGTTTTATTAACAGGCATTCAGTTTTTCCAATAGCGAAGCACGTTGTTTTTATTTCCTTCCCAGTCCAAGCAGAGTAAGCACATCTTTCTTCTATAGGTTATGGGCTCAGACCCAGACTGTTGCGTTTCTGGTGCTTCATCGTGTTTAGTCCGAGTTAATTAATTAAAAACAGAAATTTCTGTTTAGTTCGAGTTGATTAGTCACGAACAATAGTTTCTGCTGTCGCAAATAATAGCTGTTTCGAAAATGAAAGAAAAGATATGAATAGTATTGTATAGGCTTTAAATGTAAGCAAGAAGAACATTTTATGTCAAAATGCCCCAACAAGAAGTCTGAAGGTGGTTTCAGTGCTGTTTTTTCTACCGAACAGTTTGAAAACTCATGTAGACTGGTATATTGACAGTGGAGCAAGTATCCATTTGACAGCAAGAAAAGACTGTTGTGTTTTGATGAGACAGGATGTAATAGTTATTTACCTTACAAATGCGGAAAGTGATACTTAACCGCACGCAACGGCAGTCAAGCCGTTAAGGGCGGTAAAGGCACTTTCCGCATGTGTTAGGTACAAAATTTTACCTATGAGCATCTACATCTCCAAAAATAGGCATTAATAAAATTACTTAATGAATCAGATTAATTAATGAAATTAGATTAGATTAAGAAATGATCAAAAATCCATTTTCTGAAAAAGAATAGTTATTTACCTAACAAATGCGGAAAGTGATACTTTACCGCACGCAACGGCGGTTGACCGAACGACACGAAGCGGAGTTCGGTCAAGCCGTCAAGGGCGGTAAAGGCACTTTCCGCATGTGTTAGGTACAATATTTTACTTATGAGCATTTACATCTCCAAAAAAAGGCATTAATAAAATTAATTAATGAATCAGATTAATTGAATGAAATTAGATTCTGAAAAAGAAAGGATTTTTAATCATAAATACCAAAGTCTACATTACCGCATACTATGCGGTAAAGTTAACTTCACCGCACACTTTGCAGTCCACTTTACTGCATACTATGCTGTAAAGTTAACTTTACCGCACACTATGCGGTAAAGTAACTTTACCGCATAGTGTACGGTAAAGTGCCACTTTCCATTTGCAAATAAGTGCGGTAAAGGGCACTTTACCGCACGCTCGCAGGTAATAGCTATTTACCTAACAAGTGCGGAAAAATATTTTCCGCAAGTGTTAGGTACAATATTTTTCCTACAGGCGTAAAAATGTAAAATTTTTCTTTTTTTTTTTGACATATCAGTGCGGTAAAATTTTTTCCGCACTGACAGCCGTGCGGAAAAACTTTTTCCGCACTGATATGTCAAAAAAAAAAGTTTTACCGCACCGTGCAGGAAAACTCATTTTCCGCACGCATATCAGTGCGGAAAATCGATTTTTCCGCACGGATGTAGGAAAAATATTTAATTTTCATGTTGTTTTGGTGGCAACTACTAGTGTGTTGAAACTTAATGTCAGTGAAAAGTGTGTTTTGTTGATCAGTAAAGTCATCAGTGAAGTCTGGCATCGGCGCCTAGGGCATATGGAACAGTACCTAACAACTTGAACAGAATCAATGATTTAGTAGATGGTTTAGTTTTTAAGAGGCTAGCTAGCACGAATGCTCGGAACTGCGAAGTTTGTTGCCAGGGCAAGCAAGCCCGTTTGCCGTATCCCAGCCAAGGTAGCCGTGCTGATAGCATATTGCAACTTATTCACAGTGACATATGCGGACCAATGGAAACGACTTCCGTTGGGGGAGCAAAGTATTTTTTGACGTTTATTCATGACTATAGCCGCATGTGTTTCATGTATTTCCTGAAGACCAAGCACACGATGAATGAGGGACTCGGAGGTCGAGAATTTAGTGGAAAATCAGCAGCACTGCAAGATAAAAGTTTCAAGGACGAAGAATGCAGGTGAATATTGTCGCAGAGATTTTTATTTGAATCTTCCTGAAAAATACTAGCAACATTCATCAAAAGACAAACAGTCATAAACCTGAACAAAATGATATGACTCAGCGTTTTAATCATAATCTAGTTGAGAAAGCTAAATATTTGATGCTTGATGAGCAAAGGAGTAAGTTTTTGTGGAAGCCTGTAACACTGCATGCTACATAAAAAACCGTCCTGTGACTGCTGGGATTTCCAAAACTCCATTTGATCTGTGGGCTGGCAGAAAGCCAAATATCAGTCACCTACGAGTTTATCGCAATGTGGTAATGGTCCATATTTCTGAAGTTAACCGGAACAATTAAGTGGGATTATAAAGCTGTAAAGCATATACTTGTGGATTATGTTATGATATCAATACCAAGGGATATAGGTGGTATAATAAAGTTGTGGTCTAACGCAGCTTGTCGATGAACCTACCCGTATCTCAGAAAGGGGCGAATTTGCAGCGCTTTTAGACTTGTTCCTAACCACCAATCCTGACTCGTACACAATTCAAGTAGATGCTCCACTTGGTTCGTCCGATCATAAACTTATAATAACAAAGTGCGAAATGCTCATCCCACCAAGCCTACAACCACTTCCTCGTAAAATGTGGCACTATAAATCGGCAAAATGGAATGACCTAAAACAGTATTACCTGGATTTTCCATGGCAAGAGGTTTGCTTTAAAACAGCTGATCCCACTATTTGGTGTAATGAAATAACACAAGTAATCTTATCTGGAATGGACGCATATATCCCACATACAACTAAACGTAGAGCTAATGCAAAACCTTGGTTCAACAGCCAGTGTCAAACGGCTGTACAGAAAAAACACAGAGCATATAACCTTTGGAAACGACAACAAACCGCTCAAAACCACACAGAATTTTTAGAAGCCAGAAATAGTTGCAAAATTACTATTGACTCCGCTAAAGAAACATACAATCAAAGAATAAAAAACAGGTTGCTGAATTGTCCAAGTAGTTCTAGGTCTTTTTGGTCTCTTGCAAAAGCTGTTGGATCTAACTTCACCAAGTCATCCATACCACCACTTACAGATAAAAATAATCACTTAGCCACAACATCAGAGGAAAAAGCCAATATGCTGGCCCAAATGTTTTCCTCCAACTCCAACCTAACAGTGCCAAACGGAAAAACTCCACCGTTCATTGAAAGGGTTTCCCATAGTATGCCAGAGGTACCCTTTTGTCACAGAGAAATACGAAAATTCCTTAAAAAGCTAGATACAAACAAAGCAATGGGTCCGGATGGCATTCCCGCAATAGTACTCAAAAATTGCGCCAACGAACTCACCCCAACTTTCGCAAAATTATTCAATTTGTCTTACAGGCAAGGAGTATATCCATCATCATGGAAGTCTGCCGCAGTACAACCCATTCCAAGGAAAGGAAAAAAGACGATTCCGTTAAACTATAGACCAATTGCTCTACTTCCGGTGATATCAAAAGTAATGGAAAGAGTTGTGAACAATCACCTAACCAAGTACTTGGAAAAGTACAAAATTATCAACGATAAGCAATACGGATTTCGAAAATATAGGTCAACTGGCGATTTACTTACATACGTCACTCACTTATGGCAAAAAGCGATTGAGTTGCGGGGTGAAACAAGAACAATTGCCTTGGATATATCTAAAGCATTCCACAAAATTTGGCATGAAAATCTGCTCAACAAGCTCAAAGCAATGGGATTATCGCCGAAACTTTGCACTTGGTTTGAAAGTTACCTAAAGGGCAGATTCATTTATGTTGCACTGGATGGCCAGAACTCCAACTCTTACCAAATAAATGCTGGTGTGCCACAGGGAGCAATCCTTTCGCCAACTCTTTTTCTGATTTACATAAATGACCTTATAGATAAAACAGTAAATCCACTTGATTGCTTTGCAGATGATGGCAATGTAGTCTCCTCACTCATACCACCCACAGGTCTTTCCGCACGTGAATTCCATCATCTTAGACTAACTCAAATATCGCAGATAAATAACGACCTGGAGATAATAGAGGACTGGGGTAACAAAAACCTTGTACAGTTCAACGCGCAGAAAACCCAAGCAGCTCTGTTTTCAAAAAAGACCAGCACCGATGAGCCAAACATCATGCTATCTGGAAGTGCTGTCACATTACAGAGTCAGTTGAACATCTTGGGGGTTACTGCAGAGACCAACATGTCTTGGCACAGTCACGTGGCAGATATTGCTAAAAGGGCGTCCCAAAAGCTGGGGGTGCTATTTCGTACAAGACATCTGTACACACCAAGCCAATTGCTGACACTCTACAAAGCCCAGATTCGACCAACTATGGAGTACTGCTCACATATATGGAGTGCAGCACCCAAACATACCTTAATGCTTTTGAACACCGTGCAAAAACGAGCTATCAAGCTGCTCAATGACCCCGCACTTACTCGTAACTTGGATGGTCTCGAACATCGCAGATCTGTGGGCGATTTATCTCTCTTCTACAGGTACTATCACGGAAAATGCTCTGAAGAGTTGGCACGTATGATTCCACCGAGAGTAGCGCCTACCAGGCGAACCCGTCAAACAGACGGTAACCATGAATTTACTGTCAAACTAGAGGCACCAAGAACCTCATTATATCAGAACTCATATCTCTGGAGAACAGCATCGCTGTGGAATAAACTCCCTGCGACGGTTTTTCCTGCAGGTTACAACCTGAACCGTTTCAAGACCAACATACACCGACATTTCCGCGCACTTGCCGCTTCTCGAGCGTGATAGGACATTTCCTTGCGAGTGCGCATATCCGTAAAAAAAAAAAAAAAAAAAATCCAGTTATAAGAAAGGTGATTGATTACTAGTCGAGATGTGACAGTGATGGAGAATTTCACCGAGACAATCATGGCACCGAATATAATCGTGGAGGATCCAGTAGAGGTTCCAGATTCAGTGGGGGAAGAAACCGGAGCAAACTTCTTTTCCAAATGGGACACCGTAAAATTTACAGACCCTAAAATTTACAGATACTTAGCTGTGACAGTGACTATGTCCCCGACTCGGAACTATCAGATGTTGTGAGAGTACCGAAAAAATCAGTAAGGTCAATAAAGAAGAAAATCTTTGAGGACATATTTAGGTGCAAGTAATCTTGTTGAGGTACTTAACATTACTGATATACCAATAACATCTGTTACTGAGGCGCTTTCCAGGACAGATGGGCAAGAGTGGTAACAGAACATAATGGACGAGATTCAATCATTCAACGAGAATGAGACACGGGCGCTTGTTGGCCAACGAGAAGGTGGAATACTTGTTGATTGCGAGTGAGTTTACAAAGTGAAGTACGGTGCTCACAGTAGGAAAACTTATAGATCTAGGTTAGTAGGGTTACACTCAGAGGAAGACTATTGACTAATGACTACACGCAAACCTTTGCTCCAGTTGTAATGATATTTAAGACTAAGTTGCTTTGGCTGTACAACAAGATTTAAAAACTGTACATTAAGATGTAAAGACAGCATTCTTGAATGAGGTCTCAAAAGAAAGAGTGCAGATGAAGCAGCCTGAGGGATTTGTTTTGAAAGGTGAAGAAAATGAGGTTTATAAATTGAAAAAGGCAGTTTACGGTTTCAAACAATCTAGTCGAGCTTGGAACGAGGAGATTGATCAAGTATTTCTAGATATAAAGTCACATTTTGAAACTTGTATGTAGGTATATTAAAAAAAAGGACAATTGATTGTTGATTTTGATAGCCCGTACGTAGACGATTTCTTTATTTTTTTTTAAATGATTCAGAAGAACTGGTATTTGATGAGAATCATTTGAGCCTAAAGACTAAAGTTTAAAATTAACAACTTAGGAGAAGTCAAACCGTGCTTAGAAATTAGAATTGTAAGAAATTATAGTGAGAATTTCATACATCTGTCAAAACTGGTATTCCAACAATAAATTGACATGTTTTGATTGTTGATTTGAACCAATCAGATTGTAATTACGCGATAATTTGCACTAGTGCAAATTATCAGATAATTGCATACTAACTGGTGCGAAAACTGGTGTTTTGACATTTTTTGAAAAAAAAATTACCATAAACTACGTCTTTTAAGTACGGAAATTATTATCATTTAAATGAATAAACATACTATTTTTCAATCCAACCGAATAAACCCCTTAAAAACGTACGCCACTGGATTTCCCCTCCTCCACACACGTTTTTTATCGTGTGCTCCGGGTCAAAATGCTTATTTTTGTATATGCTATCGATTTACCAAGGCTCACCTTTTAGTCATTGATAGCCACAAAGTTAGGTGAACCGCTAGTACTATAGTAAATTCGTTGCACTACCTAAATCGAGACCTAAATTATCTCGACAACTTCAACAAGACACCCTAGGTCTCGTGCACTACGTGCACTCGTGCTTTTTTTCAACAAGAATGCATTCGAGCAAATTTCCCAAAAATTATCAATAATTTCCATTGCACTAGTTATATTACTATTGATAATCTTGTTACTCTAGATCAATAACATTATACTGATGAATTCTTGAAACAATTCCAGACTCTAGGAAAGTTTCAACTCCATTAGATAATAGTATAAGTTTAAATAATGTCGAGGAAACTTGTGCTAGTAATTTACCATATCAGGAATTAATAGGAAGCCTCACGTAGGTAGGTACTTGGCAGTTCTTACACGTTCCGATATTGCTTATATTGTTAAAGCTTCGGGGATATAATCTCAATGAAAATAGCTACCAAATGACATATCACTCGACCCCTCTTTCCATTTGAAATTTTGGGGGTACCTGTTACCCCCACTTAGGGGTTCACAGGTAGGGGGGTGAAAATACCAATAAAATGTGTCCCCCAAAAAACAAAAATTGACGTGTCTGAGCGATTTTTGATTAAACACCTAACACCTGAGAAAACCTGGGTGGAAAGTTTTTCGTGCCCCACCCGGTATGTATATGGTTGAAAAAATTTTTGTTCCTCATTATATTTTTTCTATACAGGGTATTCGGTACATGAGTAGACATACGTAAATCTGAGATAGGTGGGGCTGTCTGCTATGCGGTCCACCCAGATATTTTGACCTGGGCCCTAAGAATTTTTTTTTTTTATTTTTTTCCAAATTTTTCAATTTGCAGATTTTAAACTGAAATAACTTTTTGAAAAATCATGAAACTGACAAAATTTTTATTTTAATTTAATCTAGACTAATTCTAGAATTATACAAATTTAATAATTGGGTCCCATGACAGCTCCAAAGAAAAATACGGATCCTCAAACCACAAAAAGAGATTTGACGGCCTGTATTTTTCTTTGTCCCGTATTTTTCTTTGTAGCTGTCATGGGCCCCAATTATCAAATTCTACAATTAGTCTAGATTAAAATAAAGTATAAATGTTGTCATTTTCATGTTTTTTCAAAAAAATATTTCAGTTTAAAATCTGCAAATAGAAAATTTTGGATTTTTTTTTTTTTTAATTCTAAAAAAAAATTCTTAGGGCCCATGTCAAAATATCTTGGTGGACCGCAGCACCTATCTCAGATTTACGTATGTCTGCTTAACACAATATTATTACTTCAAAATTCCACATTTCAAAAGTTTCTGCTTTCTCAATTTCTCGATGTTTCCTATTTCTTCATTACTTTTTTCACTGACCATTTTGTCGTTCATTTTATTTTACTTTGGTAACTTTCCTTTCTTCACTACACCTTTTTTATTTTTATTTTAATACTTGAGCACATCTGGGCCCATAATCCTATTCAAATCAGAACATTATTTTTTGTCATAATTATCATTGTTCACTTCAACAGTACCGAAATAAGGAGGAATAATTATTCCACCGATTCCTCTCTTTGACAAATTGACAGGCACAGTGCTTTGGGGGCGCTCAGTGGCAGTGCCGCAGGTATTGCGAGAAATGTAAACGATACGCCAAAGATAAACTCGCCAAGTCTAAACGACACAAAAAAAAACAGTAAAACAGCATCATTTGCAAATGAATGATGAATGAATGCCACAAACCAAATTTAATCAATAAAATAATCAATAAAATGCAGACTTACCCAAACTAAACCGTCCGTCTAGTCCTGTTAACATTAAAAAAAAAAAAAAATGGTAGCTTACGAGGACTAGATCGCATTAGGCGGACTAGGCGGGCGGCAGAGGCTCATTTACGTTCAGAAACCCAATATTTTGTATAACTTATTGAAACCCACACCATCTTATTTATTAGGTCATAACAAAAGAAAAATGTATATACGGCGACTTTTAATTCTGGTCGAGACAAAAGTTACGTCACGAAAACGGAGAAATGAGGTTCAAAAATCGTACCATTAATATTTTTCCTTCGAGCGTACGGGAAAAGCCCATCTTTCGCACGCCTTGGCGTTCAGCAAGAAAAATTTTCCACACTAGTGTGTAAGAAAATTTCCACAAACCAATGCGTGCGAAAAATTGTTTAGGTGCAAAAAACTGTAAGTGCAAAAAGCTCATGTCCGTAAGGAAAATAACTACTTTCTGCACTCATGGCAAAATTATTACTGCACGTGTCGGATAAATAACACTTATTAGGTTTTGATAATGTATAATAATAATAATAATGTATCCTAGATATAAATATTCATAATTTTAACAACAAAAACTTAGTGATCCAATATCATTTGGAACCGCTGCTTTGGCTGAAAATTTAGGCAATAACATTTTAGTTATTTTCACGGACCCAACTTAAATTAGTGGGATTCATATTATCCATCATGCCTATTGCCTATGGCTTTAAATCCAAATTTTCACCTGCAAAAAACACCTGAGAGGAAAAAATGTTTGACAACACAACAACTAAAAAATTTAGGTATAATAATAATATACAGGGTGATTTACGTAGCTTGTGCATTAGCTTGCAGGTGGATTAGATGCTATCTGTATTAATCCACCTGATGCAATCCAATTGAATTCTAATGCACGGGCTATGAGAATCACGGTGTATACCATTGAACATGTAAACGAAATGCATCTTCAGTTGGAAGTATCTCTTTTGCTGACCGTTTTGTTTCCTGAGTTAATTTCAGTTCTAATTCCAATAAGGACCTTACAATTTTCCTTGTGGTAGAGGTAAGAGACAAATTCTAAACTTACGTCCAATGGAACCTTTATTCCCGGTTCATCAATGTCAATATTGCGGAAATAAATGGCACAAGCAAACTTTTCTCCAATTTTGTAAAAGGAACTAGTTGTGTCCCAGCCCGTCAGAGCGTGTAGAGCTGGCAAACCATCAGAAACTTTTTTTCCCAAAGTATTCGCAATTCCGTGGACATATCTTTTTTCATTTAAAACTCATGTGCTATGTCCTTTTTCCATATACCTACTCCGATTTATTTCGATTTTAACATTTCGTCGTTCCAATAATAATAAATTAACAATATGAGAACATCAGTTTCATCTGACTTTACCATAATACTTGAGAATGTTGAAGATCAACCTGCTGTCTACCTCTTCATCGTTGCAACGTTAAACAGGATCTTCAGTATTGGAGGAGTTCGATACCTAAAATATGAATTATATTGATCATAATTAGGTATTACACTTTACATTATCCCATGTCTTTATGTCTTGAAATCCTCCAGCAACTATCAATTATTTGCCACGCGGCAATTTTCCTGGGAGAGACATCAGATACTGTGTTACGAATTTGATCGTTGAAGAATTCTGTAATTCGGAACATTTCTTGGGCCAACTATAGCATATGTACCTAACTACTTAAGTTTCTCCTCTTTTCTGTTATGTTATGTTATTTTAAGGAATTCTTCATTTTCTTTGAAAAAGAACAATATTTTTCTCAAAACAACATCTGCAATATTTTCAAACGTTTTAAATTATTTTTCATTTAATTCCTACAGAAGCACCACCCGGAACGTGTGCCCGTGCGGAGGCCATGCGCCAAGTACGGTAATTCGGGCGCGGGCTTCTTTGAAGTGATTTGCTGACAATATTATTTGTAGATTAAACAATAATTGAGACAAAATGAAGCTAATAAAATTCCGCAGTTTTTTGTATAAAGAAAAAAATTATATCTCAACAAATAGTGAAGTTAGACCAGGTTGAAAATAATTAGATATATTTTCTCTTTTAGATTGAACGATGAAAGCTAGTTCTTTTTGTCTGAGAAATGAAAACAATCCAATAGTTGCATGTCATATTGAAGAGCAATGAGAACTCTTTAGAATCGTGAAAATATTACGCCTATGACTTAATCAGTTTTTTAGTAATTAGGGTTTAAAAACAGAACCTATCCATTGACCATTTTTCTCCTTTTTCTTGAATAACTTTTATCTCGACCAAAACTAAAAGTCGCCATATAAGAATTTTTCGTAGAAAATGTTGTGATTTACAATATTTTTTAGGTCTCATAAAGTTATACCGAAATATTGGGTGGTATGAATAAAAACGAAGTACCTTCTACTACTACAAGTATTAGTATGTTCTACGTAGTATTTACTTCAAAAAGCAGAATTTACTAATTTCCGGTAGTTTTGAAATGTAGTATCTACTTCGTTTTGAAGTAAATACTACGGAGAACATACTAATACTTGTAGTAGTAGCAGATACTTCGTTTTTATTCATACCACCCATAGGGTTCATCAAAAAAACTACGTCTTTAGAACGCCTGGCCGCCCGCCTAGACGGGTTAGTTTGGGTCAGTCAGCATTTTATGGTTGTTTGATGATGGATAACACGTAATTGAAATTCAATAGAAAAAAACTAACTATAGATTCGTGGTCAGCGATCAACATCCGAAAATATACCTTTGTGCCAAAAACTAGAGAAATAAGAGAGGATAGAACACTTTTTGTCTGTTGAGACGTGTATGCGGGATATTAATTACTCTTATGATCATTCAGACAAAATTTTGCATTAGTTAACGGAACAAAATAAGACAATAAATGTTTATTTTTTTTTGTGACGAAATATGCAGTTTTATTTTTACCCAATATGTAATGAAAAGTACAATTATTTTATTGCACAAGTACTATAATAGTTATTTACATTACAAGTGCGTTTATAAGCATGATTACAATAACGAGTGTGAAAGATTAGAACGACGAGGTCGTAGACCGAGTCGTTCTAATCACACGAGTTTTGTAGTAATGTTTAAACGCACGTGTGATGTCCAACGTTTTATCTACAAAGCGAAAAATATGAATGTTTTTTAAATTATTTTCGTTTATTAGTAGTTGTCTACCTTCATTTTACCTTTACAGGTTTATACCTTTGACATTTGTCAAATCACCAAAAATAGTTGTGTTATGAATTCATAACCTAGTCCATAAGACCACTAGTTGTGTTATGAATTCATAACCTAGTTCATAACAGCACTAGTTGTGTTATGAGTCTCATGACATAACTCAAATACTAGAAAAATGATAATGTAAAAACGTCATAATCCAAACGCTTGTAGATAAAATATTTTTTTCATTTGTATTTCCAAACAAAATAAGTATATTTTATCTGTATTTTAAATTTATGACATTGGCAAGAAGAAGAGGGGAGTGAGACGTTGCGTGAAGCTTTTTAAGGAAACATTTTATCATGAACTACGTCTTTTAAGAGCAGAATCTATTATCATTTAAATTTTAAATGATAAAATGATTTAACCTACCTTTTATCAATCCCACCAAAAAAACCCCTTAAAAGCGTAAGCCACTGGATTACCCCCCTCCACACACGTTTTTTACCGTGTGCTTCGGGTCAAAATGCTTATTTTTATATATGCTATCGATTTACCAAGTCTCACCTTTTAGTCATTAATAGCCGCAAATTGCCAATATTTCGGTTGAGCCGCTAGCACTACTAAGGCTGAAAATCGTTACACATATTATACATATTATGTATATTACACATAAATAACAGTGATGTTACTGATGTTAGTCAGTTAGTTGAATAGCGGAACTGGGCTGGTCAGTCTGCCCCATTGAGGTAGTTCAGCCCCAATTTATGTAAAAAAAATAGTCCAAGAGCCCAGAGCCGCCAGACACAACTTATTTTCTAAAGGACAGAATATGTGGGATTGTGTAGCACTTATATGTACTATGAACGTATGTATACCCGCTAAGTTGGCCAATTTACCGACACCAGGTGCGAAAGCTTAAGAAGTACTTTAACTTTTTTTCTAACGCTTGATTTTTATACATGTTATTGGGGAGACTATTTCATAACTACGTGTGCTCAGCCAGACCAATCGCACCGGCCAAACATCCCCCCAGACGCAATAATAGTTTTTCCGTGAGTGTGAGCGCGAGGGTACTATGCATGCGTTTGAGAGTGAGCGAGATATCTATTTCCCCCTCTTAAACTTACAGTCTACTCCAGGCTAGAGTAGAAATGGGATTCGGTTTTTCCCATAATGGGAAAAACCGTTATTTACAAATAACAGTCAACTGGCCGTCTACCCAACTTAGCGAGTATACATACGTTCATAGTACCTATAAGTGCTACTCAATCCCACATATTCTGTCCTTTAGAAAATAAGTTGTGTCTGGCGGCTCTGGGCTCTTGGACCAAAATAATAGGTCTATTTTTTTTAGAGTGACAGCGTGACAGTGACGGTCGAAGTATAAATTAATAGGTTTGTTCAGTAATATTAATATTTCTTGTAGATTTTTACATTTATTGGGGCT